TTGCGACCCAATTCAACCCAATGAGCTAACTCAACAAACCTCAAGTGTGAGTTAAATCCTCCATTCCTCAACCTCGCATCAGATATAAAATCTACTGTTAATTTAGTAATATAGAAAATTCCTTTAATACGTGAGATTGTCTCACGTAACCAACTACGTCCATTACTAATACACACGACAGTAATTGATCCGGATGTACTCGGTAGACTTGGTACCGGTTAGAATATACTTGCTGTTGCAGACAGTTCATAAGCCTCATCTGAGGAAACCCTTTCAAGATATGAAACACTTACGTTACAAAATACAATCTGTGCCACCATAAATAACAAATAATAATGCGATGTGACCAGAATTTATTATAGCATAGAGAACAGACAGAAATCTGGATCCGAGGAGGTGCTTATGCTCGTCGGCCCCCACGAGGTTCTTAAAAAAGGCCTCGGATTCGACGATGTTCGCACATGCTTCTGCATTCATCCAGGCTGTCAAACCTGTTTTCGTTGCCACCGCAACCGCCGTAGACGAACTCCTCGCAGCGACGGGTTTCACTGTTGTAACCATAACTGGGGAAGTAGGCCATGCACATTCCGGGATCAATCGGAAAGTCGCAAGGACCACGCGCTCCTGAAGGGCAGAAGAGTCAGATGAAAACGGTGGTATTGTCAACAAACACAAAAAATATCGAAGAAGGACTTTGTGAGGATTAACATATCAAACTTGCTTAAAACCTCGATCAGCGATTGGCGCACACGCAAGATGACTATCGATTATTTTAGCACGTTTCAGATTTTGCTTGTTATTTGTATACATTTGCTTAAATCGGATGACGAATTGGGGAGCCAGCATCGTATATTTACTAAAAACAAGTGCCAAATTTTCCTGAATAACCCATCTGCCATCCACTGTTTACATTTCTGTAAACAGTGGTAGACAGGCGCCCACGGATCTGTACGAAACTTGGGACCCACTTTGGATCCCTGCCAGCAGCTAGCGTGTTGTAGGCTGAGGTAAATGAAAAGGAAGACTTCACTGGTCATTTCTTGTCTGTTAGCAGCGAGTCATACACGATCCCATGGGTAGTGATCCCTAAAGGGTGTAACCCAAGACCTTGATGGTTAGAAGTCAAACGCTCTCAAGATGTATTTGTCTACGTATATTCGGATGTGCCCTCATTATTCGCGCTTAGCAATGTTTCATTTAAGGCTATTCTCATTGCTCTTTTTAGGGTTTTCGTTTATGTATATACAGTAGTCGCCAAAGAGCATGCAACCTTCATGATGAAATTTGACTTGGTAGTTTAGCGTATATTAAGAAACACTATCTTGATTCATTCAGTTTACTGAATTCTGCGGAAGCCCTTAAGTAAGCTAAATCGTCATTTTAGTCAGGTTAATTAAGCAAAATGGCCATTAATTTTGGGGAAAGTAGTAGTAGTGGGGAGTAGTCCCATATCGAAATAATTTCCTATGCTACTACGAGAGAGAAAACCAAAGTGCACGTTAATGTTAAGTATACTATGAAGGAGCCCCAAAATAAGTAAAATAGGTATGGAAGACATCCCCTCCAGGACTGGAAAAATTTGTCGAAAATTGTTTCGATTCAAGTGAATCTAAGTTAAATGAATCAAATTAATTTGCAGTAACATTGAAGATTTGTATCTTAAAGATTATGTTGAGCTATCCCGTGAAATTGTTTTGCATAAAATGCAGTAACGGAGAAGTGTTTCTCTTAAAGCACAAATAACGCACAAATGTTCTTACGCAAACGCAAAATGTCCAATATGATAACGCGAATTTAAGACAAAGAAGGCC